AAAAATTTAATGCAATTGCGTTCGAATTCCAAACCAAAAATTAGGAAGGGTTTCGTTTTGCTTGGAATTTTCCCGGGAAACAAACAGAAGACGGAAAATAGAAAAAGGAAAAAGCGGGGGTGACTTGTATGATGAGATACAGACGGGAAGAGAAGATTGGATGTGCCCAGAATGCCCTTGCCCACGCTCTTCCTACACTATCCTTGTGACACATGTCCTTTTACTTAACAGAGAAGATTAGCTGTTTTGAACTCGGAGATATTTATTATCCTAAAACCATTTAATGTATAATTGCATATTTTTATAATAATTTTTATTAAAAGAGTTTTTATAAAAAGTGATTTCGAATCGTAATTTGATTATGTATCTAAATAGATGAAATAAATAAATGGTTTGAGTATTAAGAAACATATTCATGGTAACTACCTATTCATTTAACACATTTCTACATAAACGGAGGCATCATATGCCAAATGGGGGCAGATGTCCCCACTCAACTCTTTTTGCTATGAAAAATGCTTTAATTAATATGTATACTTAGAAATAAAGTCTCAATCTAAACACTCAACTCAAAATACTCTCTTGCGTTCTATACTTTTCTTACCCTCTTACCCTTCTGATCATGTATTTTTCCATTAGCTAATAATTTACAATTTTACTGTTCTAACACCAATTATCCAACATCATGTTGTTAGACAATAAGTTGTCACCACTAGAATAACATTCGATGTGTTGTAAAGTAAGGAATCTTATCTAGAATAGTTTGAGTATAACGTAAAGTATTGTTGATTGTGATGTAGAGGTGATTCCTCCTTATCTTATGTAACGGACAAAAGAGAACGATCCCTCTTGTCTCCGTACAGTTTTAGGTGAGGTTCTGGAAAGTTCCTCCTAGGCCTTTAGATATGTGTGTATTCTATGTAGAATGAATACTTGAATAAAAACCAGCTCTTTGTATAAACTTCTCATGTTGAGTAAATATCGTTGCTTGAGTCATCCTTTGTAACGATCCTAATTAGAGTAAAGCCTTTAGTTTCTCTAGGTTCAAGCACAACACGAGCCTGAGCACCATCTAAGAACTCAATAAGGGACATTTGAGAGTAGGTTGTGAACTCAAGGTCTCCCAACAACAAAAAAACCAAAATTTCCTCATGCTCCAACTTCATCGTTTTTGAACCAAAGGAGAAAGCTAAGGGCAGCAAGGAGATTGCATATATCGGCCTCAATCCTTTTGACAGAGAACACCTGATAAGGGTGAAGCCTGCATCTAGGGTGAAGAATCCGACTCCTGTGGCCAGCGGCTGTGGTGGTAGACAAGTAGGATGAACTGCAGGATTTACGGGGTGTAGCTGCAGAACCAAGAATTGAGGGTGCACCTTGAAATGGTTCTCTTGGAACTCAAAACAGAGCATTAACTTTATAACGGTAGTTAAAGCATCTCCCGGATCCCATACAGGCCAAGGATCAAGGTTACTAGTGAAAGGCAGTGAGAAATCAACATGTAGATCAATAGTCAAGGCACCAAAAAACTGTTATCTTATTGCAGCAATTGGGATAGCTGCATTTTCTTCTGCCAGCATAGTTTCAAAGATAACTTCCTATTTTGCACCAGCTTGGGCAATCTCAACTAGATAGGAGTTTCCCTTCAAAGATGTGCCAACTGAAGTCTTCTTCTGCCATTGTTAAAATCCAGCACGCAGCTATCAAGAAGACCTCCCATATAATAACAGGAAAGCCATCACACCACGGAGAAGCGTGCTGCATTTTTCGTCCATGAAGCATTTGGCTACCAATTGTGTTTGTAAACATGTACTCCAGAAAATATATAGTAAAAGATACAATAATTGCAAGTACAAACTTTATAGCACAAGTGTTGCAATCGGAGACAACTAGACAAACTAACGTCATAGTATCAATTGTATGTCTAGATAAAGTAAAAGTGGAAATTGCTTTAGTCAAGCCACTCATGAAAGCGGAGAAAACACCATTGGCCATCAGAGTTAGAATATTGTTCCAAATTGTAGAACAAATCATGGAACCTCTATCAGTAAATCTAGAAGTCTGTAGTGCAGTTTGCTGCATGTCAATTGTGTCAAAATTATCAAAACGGATTGCCCAGTGTTGGAGAACAATTCAGAAATAAACAAAAATAACAGAAATAAACAAAACTTGAAATTCTAATATTTTATTAACCAAAAATATTTGATGTGCAGAATGAAATTATACAATAAATACAGAAACTAATATAAGAATATCAATGATACTAACTTGATCACAGAAGGTAGAGGCTAGTGTAAAAGTTATGTCATTCGAACATCATTTTCGTCCCATGATTGTGCTTGTGGTTCTACAACGTCTGCTCGACCAGGATTCAACTACCTAATTCTACAACCCGCACTGGATTCTAGAATTCTAGTGAATTTGCTTTGTGTGCCTACTCTCTAAAAATTTCGTACCGAAGAAAAGAATATCTCACTTGGATACTGTGATTGCAAATATATAGGCTGTTTCACACCCTTTCAAATACCTGTTCAGTGTATTTGAAAGTATACAACTCTTTCTAATAGTTGTGTCTTTTAATCAAAACGTTTTTAATTAATAAATTAATTAAAAACTTAATCCGAAAATTAAAATTAATGAATCTAATTAATTTTAAATTCCAAGGCCCTTGTCTTGATTAATTAATATTAATTGTATTTAGGCTATATTATATTCAAGCCTAATCCACACAACCATAAGGTTCAAGCCTTCAATTCATTTCCAAATGGTCCAAGTTCTAATTACTAAAGAGAAGGAATAAGCCTATATAAAGGCTAGTGAAAAAATATTGTTTCCCAATGTAGGACAAGAGGGTCTCAAAACTCCTACACCCAATCCTTAATGTCCAACTTAAACCTAACGCGTTCAAAATCTTCATGTGCTGACAGATTTCCCCATGCAGTATGTCAAAAAGCGATATATGAACAGAAATTGTTGTGTGTTGTACATATCCAAAAAATTGCGGAGCACTAAAAACTGCTAGAATCAGTTGGGTATTGGTGGACTAAATGAATCCGAAAGACTTACGGATGCCATTGTCCTGTAAATCCTTGGAAGAAGGTAAAAGTCCATTTTGTTGTTCATGGTGAGCAAGCTCCATTAGCTCCACTGTTGCAACAAATATCTGTTTTGAGCTCAAAACATGCTGAACAAAAGTATTACCCAAAGAAAAATGCAATTGTAGCCAATCCAACTGCTGGAAGTATTCCAGGTGCCACTTGAGTGATTTCCCACTTCGGTGCTTTCTCAATCATCCTTACAAAAGTATCCACATAACACAAACTTGCTCATCCAAAAGTGCCAGTCAACAAGAAGGTCTGAACATTTTGAGTTAGGAAAGAATTATTGAGGAACCCCCAATCAGGAAAATGAAGTGATATAAGGCAGAGTAAACCTTCTTGTCCATAAGTAAACACATCCCTGGTGCAACATTCCTCAATTTTCTACAAGCAGAAAGTCAGGAACCGATTTAGGAATCTCCATTCAATGGTGCGGATCAAGTAAATGGTTAGGCCTATATTTCTGGCCAATTTCTCTCTGCTGCATTTTGTCAAACACATCTTGGGGCAAATATGTTTCTTCTACTCCCAGAGGAATTAAACACACAATCATTTCTAAGGCCACATGATGCCTTAATTCTTAAGATATTCTAATTTGACCTTAACTAGGATTTCCTTTATGGAGACAAGTAATATCTTTGTTAGGCCTAAGCCTGTCCTACCGGCCTACGCTCCATGGACTTTGGACATTCCGATTATCCTTTCCACGTGTCATAGACCAAAAAAATCATAGTCTCACATCACTCTCGAGACTTAAATGAGTGAACCTTCAGGTCATCTCTAATGGAAATGGTTATAAGGCCATAGCTCAAAATTTTAGCATGAAATGCCACAAAACCCAACTCCAATGGAGAGTTGGGCCAATAAAAATTGAGACCCACCAGACCTAATGATAGCCAAAAGACTATCAGGCTAGGTATGTTGGGCCTGCCGAGCAGCCCAATTTTGGAACCCAGCATCAACGCCTTTCTGGGTTTCTTGACAGCTAAGTGGACGCATGCACCTCAAAAACCGACGAGGAAAATCATGCTTTTCTGTTTAGACAAAAACATGGCCTGATTTGGCCATATTTTACTTAATCTGAATACATGATTTGGAAAACACGCATATGTGGGTATTTTAATTGAAAAAGATTCGGAACCCTTAGAAATACATTATGTTTGTAGATTGTAAATCAGGACCCATTTTTAAAACATGAATTTTTACTATCTTGACTCATTTTAATTCAATTTCTCACATTCTATCTATCTAAAAAATTATGTCCTGATAACTTTATTTTCACATGATATAAGTAGTAAATAAATTTAAAGAGTAAAATTAAAACCAATAAATTAGTAATGAGCTATATTTAATCATTTCAATTGAAGATGATATATGAATATGACATAATTCTGATCATTAAAAAAATAATTTCTTTATAATTCTAGACGGAACTATACGTAACCTTTTTAGTTGGAGATAGCATTAAGCTCACAATTCATAGTCTTGCTTTTTTTTTCTTTTTTTTTTTTAATTTTTTTTTTATAGAAGAACATTCATAGTTTTGTTTCTTAGCAAGTTATGCACGGACGGAGCAAGCACATAGATGTGCGCTTTCATTTTCTTCGAGATCTTATTAAAGATGAAGTAGTGGAGCTATTACAGTGCTCTACCCAGGAGCAGGTTGCGGATATCATGACAAAACCATTGAAGCTTGAAGCATTTCAGAAGCTGCGAGGTTTGATGGGCGTTTGCGAATATTCTGGAATAAACTAAATATCAATGGCATTCAGTTTAAGGGAGGACGATGAAGTTGTTGGGTTGTTCCTAACTATTAGAGTTAGGATCCTTGTTTTTAGGGTTTGAGTCGTGCTAATAACCCTCCTATACTTGAGGGATAAGTTTGCATTTTCTGTTTAAAGACTTAGTCATGACCACGATTCTAGGGCATGTAACATCGTGGGTTGCTGTTTACTGTTCTGTTTTGATGTAAGGCTATTTAATAGCCATGATTATGGTTCTTCAATTAAATAAGCATTCTCCCAGACTTCTAGCGTTGTCAAGCTTTGCATTTACAAAACTTATCTGTCATTTCTGGTTCTAACAAGTTCAATACATGAATTTTCTCATTTATCATACAATTCAAGTGCTTAAGATGTTTCGACCAAAAAAAAAAAAAAAAAAAAAAAGAAAAAAAAGCCTTAAGACGTAACTCTCTTGCACTAGCACTGTCTTGAGGTGCAAATTTGATCGCCTTTAGAAAGTCTTCCCGCGCAGCATCTGTCTAGGCCCCTGTTTGGTTTCGGAGAAAATCACAAGCTCAAATTTACTCGCACATTTTCTCAATTTTTGTGTTGGAATTGATAGGTTGCGGTGAAGGAGGTTATCGAGAAGGTTCTGGTTGGGCTGATACGGCCTCATTTCGTTATGGCTAATATTGGAAGTGGGTTTGGATTGTATGACATCTCCAAGTTTGTTTGTGTTCTTGCTCATATATACCCCTTAATCTTAATTATTATATCTGAGCACGGTGAGTTTTTTGTATGATTTTTTTTTTTTTTTTTTTTTGGGGTTTGTGGGTTTTAGAGATTTTTCGGTGAATGCATTGATTTTTGTATAATTTTTGATAGTGGGTTTTGATGCAGAACCTATTCGGTGATCAATCTGAAGAGGAAGAGGAAGAGGAAGAGGGCGATTCCGAGAACGAGCCCAATCCACAGCCCAATTCTGTATGATCCTCTAATTTCAAGTTTCCTTTCTATTCTGATTCCAAAAGCATGTTTGTGAATGATTAGGGTTTCAATTTTTGCTTTAATCTTAGCCGAAGCAACATATAGGTTGTGGTATTGTCATTGCGGTGGATGATTTGGATGAAAGTATGTATCTTGGGAGTTTTTTGCTTGCAGTTGTTTAGGCCTTATGAGATACTTATGAGTAGTCAATTTTAGTGGGATTGTTGTTTCAATCTGGATAATGAATGATGTCGTTTCCTATTCGGTCCGTCCTTTGATGTTGTAGCAGATTTGGAATTTTGTGAACTGTTCTTTATTAAGAATGAAGTGCCACAAATTGAAGGCGAATAAAAAAAATTGCACATCTTCTGATTAGAAATATAGAATTGGTTATTTTCTTGACTGTTTGGTTCTGATGTGCCAGGCCTGCGGGAGCGGCGAGAGAACTTTCCACCATTGGAAAACTGGTGGGTGCATTCCAGCAAGTCGTATTCCTCTTTTCTCTTTTTTCATATCTGTCTTGCCATTGACTGGAGATGTGGGGGATCCTGCTACCCTGTCCGCCACAGTACAGGGCTGTAACAAGATTATCTATTGTGCTACTGCACTCTCTACTATTAGCGGAGACCTCTACAGGGTTGATCAAAGAGGGGTCTAAAATCTTACCAAAGCAATTCAGGTGTGATCCTTATTGCCATTTAGTAATCTGTTTCGGTTTTGATGTCTTTTAAGTTCATGGGTTGGTTCAATGTTGGATTTGAATTTTATTGCTTATGTGAAGCTTTTGACTGTTTGCATCGTAGGACTATAAGAAGAAAATGGCTTAATTACGAGGAGGAAAGAGTAGCAAGAGCAAACTTACAATTGTAAAGTACAAGACTCCGGAGTCAGTGGATGGATGGGAAGTTCGTCAGGGGACCTACTTTCAGGATGTGGTTGCTTCTAAGTATGATGGAGGAATGGATGCCAAGTTCGAATTCACTTTCACCGGAGATGCTGTTCTCTCCGGTAAGAGAAAGACTAAATTGGGGTTTTGAGGTTCTAAATGGAAACCAACTATTACTCCTTTTACTCTATTTCTTGCTGCATTGTAGGATAAGTCTTCGCCAGACGAGGGTACTAACCTAAAAGCAGCTTCCCAAAAACAAATTCATGGTATTTTTCTTATTATTAATTACAGATAGTATTTCTATGTTTTCCCTCTGTGTTTTAGAGATAATCAACTGTTATTAAGCTGTTTTCATAGTGATTAGAACTTCCTTTAGAACTAATGAATCAAGTCATAGCGAGATAAGCTAATCGAAACAGCACAAATATGAATGAATACAGGTTCTGCTCTCTTAAGGTTTCAATTTTTTTTGAAGTTTGGAGGCTTATGTCAATCTATAACAATTGTTCTAAGCTGTCAAGTTCCCAAAATGTCTAAGGAGATATCATGTTTAACGAGTCACGAATTGTGATGAATCCAAATGCTTTTATGAGCGCAACCATGCCATATTTTGTTTTTGCAGAGGTTGTAATAGTTTTCCTTTGACTGATCTGTTAATAAGTTTGTTTTTGTAGATGCCAAAGAACTGCATGGAAGATTTCTATGTGAAGGTCCGTACTTTTCCCTTTTTAGTTCTTGGCAATACAAGCATCTTCAGCTTTTTAAAAATAAACTTATAACATATTATAAGATTAAGAAAACTTAAGAGACCAGTTCAATTGGGTAGATGAATAAAAGGAAAGAAAAGAAAAATATTAGAAAACATTCGGTATGTTTGAAGAATTTGTTTTTACTTAGGGAGACCATTTGATTGCTAAGGAAATCGAGGAAAAGAAAACAAAGAAACTAACTAGGAGTTGTCTGAGTTGTTTATAGAGACGGGACATAGAAAAAACAACAAATATTTTTGTTTTTGTAATGGCTGTCCTGAATTTCCTTTTGACTAAACAAAACATAATTAGTTTATTTGCTTTACTGAGAATGTAGCGTTTTTGTGATTAGTTTCGGGTTTTGGAGCAGATTTTTGTGTCCCCAGCCATATCCAAAGTTGATTTTGGACTTTCTTCGATCTTAGAATATTTGGTTACTTTAGTGCATTGACAATTAATAGACTTAATTTTTTTTATCATTGTTTGTGTATAATTATGCAACTTGTATGTTATAACGTGACAAAGGTGATTTTGCTTTCAATACATCAACAAATATTAAAAAGAAATATTTAAAGAGGGCTAGAACCCAGTCGAAGCTGGGGGGCTAGGCCCTCACGCCCATATTATATTATTTAAAGAAAAAACATACAACGAGGGGACATAGTACTTAAAACCTCGACAATCAAAAGTAAAATCATATACAACCACTACAAGCAATCAACATGGCCCTTACATATTGAATCCAAACGGTTGACGCCCCATTCACTGCATATAAGATTATATAATTGAAAAGAAGGAAATTAAAGAGAAATTTAAAAAAAAAAAAAATTGAATTTAGTGGGTAATGAATGCATACCAAAATCATTGATCCACATGGTATGCCACCTGGAAAGAAAAATAAACTGCTGGTGATGATGAATGAAGAATAAAAATAAGAGACGAGATCGGCATTTTAATATTTCTTAGCTTATACTGAATTAGGCAAGTGTAAATTTAAACAAGTTAGAAAACGCACCTTAAGATTCATCAATTTCAATGGATTGGATGTGAGCAATCTTAAACCAGTCCTCACCTGTTTCTTTCTTGCATGTTTCGCTTAACATGGGGCACCGCCAAATTTGCAATCCATTTAAACAGGGGAGTCCACGAATCCCTTCTGGCAGTGAAGTTAGATTAGGACAATTACGAATTGCAAGCTCCTGAAGTGATGTGAGATTGCTTATTTCTTCTGGCAGTGATGCCAAATCCTCAATTGCATGGAGTGACAGATGTGTTAATTTGGAGAGATGAGGGGAAGAAGAAGAGGCAGAAACATCAACACCAACATCATGTGTAATATCAGATGCTCCTCCAACAAACAAGGAATCAACAACCTTCCAGCTGCTCCTCGTAAGTTCCATTTCAACCACATTTGGATACAGAGGCATGGAAGTTAGATTAGGACAATTATAGATCTCCAATGTAGAAAGACGAGGAAAAGAAAGCAACGACAGATTTTCCGTTGATGAAGAAGAAGAAGCACTGTTATGAGTGTGGGCCCTCCACCATCCCTTCAGAACAGGGCAATTGTATAACTTGAGTGTCTCCAGGGAGGGAAAGAATGAGATCCTCATCATCTCATCACTCATACTAATGCTGCTCTCATTCTCTGATATGTACTCCAACTTCTCCAACCCAAACATTGTAAGAGACTTAAGGGAAGGCAAATGATCCAAGGGTGGAAGACGTTGGCATCTCCTACAGTAAGCCAGTGTGAGATTAACAATATTTATGAGAGAAGAAAACCAACTCGCAAACCTCACACCATTATAGTCATACACTTCCAACTGCTTTAGATTAGAATGGGGTTGCAATACTTCCATTGACTTTATAATATCCTCCTCATCAACCGCGCTTATATCTTCTCCCTCTTTCCAGATTAAATCCAACGAACAAAGATGGTGTTTGTCCTTGAGAGGTGTACCAATATTTGATTCTGACACCACATGCCTCAAATTGTCAATGAGTAACCGTCCCCTTAATTCGTTAAGGGTCCCCAGCTCAGCAAGACCAGCACTACCGCCCCTCCCCAAACAATTGCTTTCGCTCAAAACAAATCTATTCAATGTACGAACACCATTCAATTCACCTATTCCACGTGGCATTCCACTCAATCGCAAACAGCGTTCCAACATGAGATGCCTCAAGTTGATCATTTTTTTAATGTCTCTAGGCAATTCCACAAGAGCCCTACAGTTTGAGAGATCTAGTGTTTCCAAATTCGAAAGTCCAACCATCCAATCTGGAAGTCTCTTCATGGGATTCCCACTAAGATCAAGATATCTCAAACGTTTCATTTTTTTAAGACAATTAGGTAATGTTGTAATTCCTAATTCATTGAGACTCAACATCTGTAATGACTTAAAATTTGAAACAATTGTAGTATAAAATGCATTACGTGAGGAACTTTGGTGATCACCCCAACCTTGTTGCCAAAGAAAAAGAAAGGTTCGTATCTTGCTTGCTTTTAGCAAGGATGTTGGCACTTCCCATTTCGACAAATCAATATCAAAATTGAAAGATACATGACGAAGCTTTTCATGAAAATTCTTTCGGTTTAGATCAACTACGACACTTCCGACCCCCGACACTAAGATTGCAAGTTCATTCATGAGATCGTGCATTTTACAACTTCTTATTATACCAAACTCATCTATTTTTTCTTCTTGAAAAAATGATCTGCACAACAACTCCCCGTAATATTCAAATGCAACATCCTCCAAACACTCGTTTTCGTCGCATGACTCAATGAACCCTTGTGCCACCCAAAGTCTAATCAATCTTGGTACAGAGATCTCATAATCAGGTGGGAACAAGCTACAATAAGCAAAACAATGCTTCAAATGTGATGGGAGCACATCATAACTCAATTTAAGTGTTGGCAAAATATCATTTTCTTCTTGATTTATTTTTGAAAGTTTCTTTTCTTTGAAATTCAACCAATATGTTTCGTCATCTTTGGCGAACAACATCCCACCTATCGTCCTTATAGCCAGTGGAACTCCCTGACATTTTCCAGTAACTTCCTTCCCAATTGCCTTAATTGTTGAATTCTCTGGCTCCTTTCCATCTTTATAAGCCATTTTTTTAAATAAAGACCAACTTTGCTCCTCATTCAAACCCTTTAAGGTGTATGGTTTAGTTAAGTCTGGTATCGTCGCAACTTTTTTACTACGAGTGGTTAATAGTATTTTGCTACCTTCTCCACCACCCATTAACAAGTTCTCCAAGTCAAGCCACTTCTTTTTATCCTCATTCCACACGTCATCCAACACAAGTAGGTACTTCTTCCCATCTACTTTTTTTCTAAGATCATTTTGCAATTGCTCTATCCCATTATGCTCGGATTGAAGGATTTTCTTAACAACTATATCCAACTCAAATACATTAGAGACACATGTCCATATTTTCAACTCAAAATGACTTTGAATCACCTCCTCGTTGAATATGAGTTGCGCAAGTGCAGTTTTCCCTAATCCTCCAATTCCAACTATGGAAATGGTTGACACATTCTCAGATGAGATGGGAGCCAACAAAAGTTCGATAATTGCCATTTTATCTTCATCTCTCCCTATAATATTTTCCTTACGGACAAATGAGTGAGTGACCCTCTCTCTCTTTACAAATGGTGTATCTTCACGATTTACTTCTAAGTGAAAGGTTCTACGATTTGCAACCTCACTCAGCCTCTTGTTAATATCTTTTATCTTATGACCCATCTTTAGCCCAAAAACAAGTTGATTTGAGCTAGAAAAGAATAGACGCACCTGTAAGAATTTGAGTAGACATAATCATTATTTCGATAGAATTATATTAATTAAGTTAATAGTGTTTTGTAACGGTAAGTTATATGATACATTCAAACAATAATATAGAGGACTTATTGCAGTTAATTATGAGTTATTGACAGACCTAGTGTATTCGTTATGTGACTATGAAAAGGTTCTATGAGATGCAACCTCACAAGCTTCTCGTTAATATCTTTTATCTTATGACCAATCTTTAACCCAAAAACAAGTTGATTTGAGCTAGAGAAGAAGAGGCGTACCTTCTTTAACAACTTAGTATTTCCAGGCACCATTTGTCTCCGCTGAGCTTCAGCATTAAACTCATCCAGCAGGTCATCGGCTTCATAAACTGCGTCTTCTACGCTTTGGAGCCAGTGTTTGACTTCATTATCGGCTTGCTTTTGCGCAGCGTCAAGAAGAACAGCTTGGAATCCGGCAACTGTATCCCGGAGCTTGCGGAGCTCATCTTGGACACCCCAAATCAGTCCAATCTCTTGGAAAGCAAGGGAGCCAAGCCTTCCAATGATCCCTTCGGCAATGTTGAAGAGAACTCCTTCCGCCATTTCTTGTATTCAGGACAAGAAAAAACACAGGCAAGTGAAGTGAATTAAAGTAGAAGTTTGTAAACGAGAATATGGTTTTGAGTAGTGAAAGATGGCTCGTCCCTGCTCGTCTTTATACATGCCATTCCACTTCAATTAAAGAATAACTTGAATGGTTAACACACTTATTCCCATTCAACTTTAATTAAAGAATAACTTGAATGGTTAACACATTCTATCCCTTTTCCACAAGTTCTGAATGGTTAACATATCCTATCCCTTTTCCACAGGTAAGGCAATTATGTTCGACAAAGGAAGTCAAAAATTGGGTCCATTTGGATGAGGAAATTTCAAACCTCAATCCAATATTTTTATGATTTCATATAATATGGCATGCTTATTTATACAAAATATAAATTAAAATCATTTTGATTCTTCAATTTCATACGCTTACTAAAACATGATATGCTTTATTTTTAGAGAATTAAATGGAGCCCATGCATTATGCCCGTCTAAATATGAAAATTTTAAAAAGAAAAATATATGGAAAAGAGAACAAGTGAGTTTTTTTTCTTTTTTCTAAAAAAAATAAAAATAAAATTAGAAATGCTCTGATGACATGTATGCGAGGTTTGAAAAAAACATTATCAAAACTTAGTTTGTATGAAATTACATTACTGCTCCAAACTCATAATCAACATTAGAGAACCAAACCTTATAGATTATTCTCCTGGTGTTTCCAATTTCTATAATAATAAGGTAAGCTTGTTGGATTCACCTTATCCTCAAAACTAAAAAAACAAAAGGTTTGAACTCTCTTCGTCTGATTTCATCCCAATTGTCTTTTCACTTTTTTAGTTGACAAAAAACATTTTGTTAGCCAATAGTTTAGATAAGAATAGGAACAATTCCCCGAGCTCACTACTAGTTTAATAGTTTTTCTTAATTAAATCAATAATGTAGTACAAATTCAAATCCTTATGTTTAAATCACTTCATCCACATAGACACCCCAAATCGATCCAATTTGTTGGAAAGCACGGTTGCCAAGCCTTACAATGATCCGTTCTGCAATATTGAAGAGAACTCCTTCTGCCATTTCTTGTATTCAGGACAAGCAAAAACCCAGGTGAAGTGAATTAAAGTAGAAGATTGTAACTAAGAATATAGTTTTGCACAGTGAAAGATGGCTCCTCCTGCTAGTCTTGATATGCCCATCTCTCATCCAGCCACTCACACATCATTCAATGTATAAAATAAAAACAAAGACCTAATCATGGTCAATACGGTTATGCGTAGTGAGAACATGGTCAATATGTTACAGCTGGCCTTAATAATTGAAGGTTGATTTTTAATGCCAGCTGGGTCCTTCACAAATTATAGCCGTTTGTTGCTTTCCTTATGTTTTACTCTACTTTTGTTCCCTAGTGGCTAGTAAAGCATTAGCCAGTGCCATACTAAAGCTTTGTGCTGTGTTTTTAATTTGATTTCCAACACATGTTCCCTCACCCACGACTCCCTGGGCCCACGCGCTATTGTAACCCGCCATCATTTATAAACCCACAGCTGGACGTGTCTACACACAGCACGTCCATACCCATAACTTTTTTGGGTTGTGCGCACTGCGCAGAATATCAATGATGATGAATTGTTTGTAGAACATTAATTATTCTATCGATTTTTTTTCCTTTCTTTTTTTTTCATTTTATTTACAATTTTTGACATTATCTTTCATAAAATAAAATACATTACTGTATAATCAGTTTTTAGTTTGATTATACACTAAACGTTTGACTAATTTAATCAGTATTATTTGATATACAAATTATCATATTCAATTGAAATAGTTAATACAGTCTGAGTTGTCAAATGAGATCTAAAAGTAAAAGGGATGATAAGATATCGTAATGTCAATTTATGTTGATAATATAATGCTAATAGACTAAACAAAGTCATAAATTGGGGTCCATTACTCCATTTGGAATGAGGAAATTTCAAACCTCAATCCATTATTATTATTATTATTATTATTATTATTTGAATCATTGATATTATTTACACTAAGAAAGTGAGAGAGTAAACTAAGTTTTACAATAAACTATTAATAATATGGTTCAAATTTGTCTTTACCAAGAATTGAACCTAATAACTATCACTTACAAATCTAGAAGAATATCACTAGATAATAATACTAAATGACTCATCAATCTAATATTTTTATGATTTCATATAATATGACATGTTTATTTATATGGAATAATAAATAATAATTAGAACCATTCCGATTCTTGAGTTTAACGCGTTTATTGAAAAATATCCACATAAACAAAAACACAAGAAGTACTTCAAAGAAACAAATTGACTATTTTTACACACCATCTAACATATTATAGTAGTGATGGAAAATTCACAACGGAAAACTCAGTAAACAAAGCGAAAATGAGATAAACTCTTGTCTAACAGTCACTAGCAGTGCCAATGCGGTGGCATTGGCATCCCCTGACCTCAATAGGGTTGTAAATTTATCATTTTGAAAAATTTTCCTACCCCTATAACTGCGTTACAGCAACCGATGAAATATTATATATCAGTAGCTCTATAGAAAATTCATAATTTTTCATCAGTCTATTCCAAATTTCATTGGGCGTTGGATATAATTTTCCGACTCCTTCTGTCATGTCTTGTGTTCAGGACAAGTAAAATCCAAGTGAAGTGAATTAAAATAGAAGGTTGTAATTTAAGTGCATAGTGAAAAATAGCTCCTCCTTCGGGTCTTTATATGCCCATCACTAGGCCTGGCAAACGGGTCGTGTCTATCGTGTTCATGTCGTTTTCGTGTAACACCTGTTATCTTAACGGGTCGTGTCGTGTCACACCCGTTATCTTAACGAGTCCTTAACAGGTCGTGTCACTTTACCCAACGGGTAAAGTGACCCGACCCGTTATGACCCATTATAACCCGTTAAGAAAAAAATATATTTTTTTTAAAATTTGCACATACCACACATTGCCACATAAATATTACTTCAAAACATTAAAACATTTCTCATTCAAGTACTATATCTACACTCGAAAATAAAAGCCTAATAAAAAAAATAATACATACACTACAAATATATTACAAATATTAAATGTGCAAAGATAAAGAGTTTTTGTTTTTAAGATTGTAAGTCTTTCTCAAAAGTTTACACCTCCATTTACAAAATATTCAATTTACATCGATCATCATGAAATTGTATTCAATTTACACCTACATCTATATAATTATTATAGTTTTTACTTTTTAGGGATATAAAATTATTAAATTAATGTATATAATTATTAATATTATAGTTGATTCATACTTTTATCAAGTATATAAATTATAACATAAGATTTTGTGATATCCACATCCACTAGTGTAAATATTTTAAATTGAAGATCAAATTCATTCTTTGTATTCATATAGGGTCAAGGAGTGTAGCTGTAAAAATTCATCAAAATCAGAGTTAACATAACCGTTAAATCTTGATTTTTCGTTTATAACCGTCGAAAAGCTTTGTCCCGTTACTTGATCTCTGAATGTTTTTCTTTTGTGATTTTTTGCTGATGTGATCTTCAAGCATATACAAACAAATTTGACGGTTTGGATCATTGAAATTAGTTTTGGAGAATTCGTAAAACGATAGTTTGACTAACACTTAGAGTTTATTTATACTTTCATTAAGTATAACATAAGATTTTGTGGTATCCACTTGTGTAAATATTTTAAATTGAAGATCGAATTCATTCATTGTATTCATATAGGGTCAAGGAGTGTAGTTATAAAAAATCATCAAAATCGGAGTTAAAATAACCGTTAAATCGTGATTTTTCGTTTATAACCGTTGAAAAGCTTTGTTCCGTTACTTGATCTCTGAATGTTTTTTTTTGTGATTTTTTGCTGATGTGATCTTCAAGCATATACAAACAATTTTGACGGTTTGGATCGTTGAAATTAGTTTTGGAGAATTCGTAAAATGATAGATTGACTAACACTTAGAGTTTATTTATACTTTCATTAAGTATAACATAAGATTTTGTGGTATCCGCTTGTGTAAATATTTTAAATTGAAGATCGAATTTATTCATTGTATTCATATAGGGTCAATAAGTGTAGTTATAAAAAATCATCAAAATCGGAGTTAAAATAACCGTTAAATCGTGATTTTTGGTTTATAACCGTTTAAAAGCTTTGTCCCGTTACTTGATCTCTGAATGTTTTTTTTTTGTGATTTTTTGCTGATGTGATCTCCAAGCATATACAAACAATTTTGACGGTTTGGATCGTTGAAATTAGTTTTGGAGAATTCGTAAAACGATAGATTGACTAACACTTAGAGTTTATTTATACTTTCATTAAGTATAACATAAGATTTTGTGGTATCCATTTGTGTAAATATTTTAAATTGAAGATCGAATTCATTCATTGTATTCATATAGGGTCAAGGAGTGTAGTTATAAAAAATCATCAAAATCAGAGTTAAAATAACCGTTAAATCGTGATTTTTGGTTTATAACCGTTGAAAAGCTTTGTCCCGTTACTTGATCTCTGAATGTTTTTTTTTTGTGATTTTTTGCTGATGTGATATCCAAGCATATACAAACAATTTTGACGGTTTGGATCATTGAAATTAGTTTTGGAGAATTCGTAAAACGATAGATTGACTAACACTTAGAGTTTATTTATACTTTCATTAAGTATAACATAAGATTTTGTGGTATCCACTTGTGTAAATATTTTAAATTGAAGATTGAATTCATTCATTGTATTCATATAGGGTCAAGGAGTGTAGTTATAAAAAATCATCAAAATCGGAGTTAAAATAACCGTTAAATCGTGATTTTTCGTTTATAACCGTTGAAAAGCTTTGTTCCGTTACTTGATCTCTGAATGTTTTTTTTTGTGATTTTTTGCTGATGTGATCTTCAAGCATATACAAACAATTTTGACGGTTTGGATCGTTGAAATTAGTTTTGGAGAATTCGTAAAATGATAGATTGACTAACACTTAGAGTTTATTTATACTTTCATTAAGTATAACATAAGATTTTGTGGTATCCGCTTGTGTAAATATTTTAAATTTAAGATCGAATTTATTCATTGTATTCATATAGGGTCAATGAGTGTAGTTATAAAAAATCATCAAAATCGGAGTTAAAATAACCGTTAAATCGTGATTTTTGGTTTATAACCGTTTAAAAGCTTTGTCCCGTTACTTAATCTCTGAATGTTTTTTTTTGTGATTTTTTGCTGATGTGATCTCCAAGCATATACAAACAATTTTGACGGTTTGGATCGTTGAAATTAGTTTTGGAGAATTCGTAAAACGATAGATTGACTAACACTTAGAGTTTATTTATACTTTCATTAAGTATAACATAAGATTTTGTGGTATCAACTTGTGTAAATATTTTAAATTGAAGATCGAATTC